CGTGCATCTGTACGTGTGCACAACGCGAGGTCAGCATGCGTTTAAGGTGTTGTCCCTACGTGTGAATGTGTCATCATGTGATTGTACGTGTGCACTATTACGCGTGCCACTCCATATGTACGGTATGTGTAATATTATGGATGTATGAGTATGTACATATGAATCATTTGGCGGGACCCCGGGGTCCCGCAAAAATCAGGTCAATAATTATTATTTCTCAGTCCGCCCACTCGTGATCCCGACAGCAACGCGCCGCCTGCCCAGACTCGCGCCAACAAGCGCCACCAGCAGGCGGTGATCGACACGATGGGCGCCACCCCACCGGCCAAAGGCGAGCCCCGGGGGGCGTCCTCCGCAGTCGCGCCCTCCGACAACGCCCTCCGGTCAGCCGTCAATCCTCAGTTTCTTTGCCAAGGCGAGCCCGCCCCCCAGGCAGTGAATTTAACGTGTTTATGTAATGTTTCAACTTTTTACGAAACTTAGTGCCCCGAGTAGCTCTCGACGAGGCCAATCGATTGACACTAGTTTTGTTGTCGGTAAGGCAAGACTCGTGTCGCTACGCGGGTTGTCCCACCCCGGGGCAGTGATGGGACCCCGGGATCCCACCAATTGCTTCATATGCATATCTCTAAATACGTGTGTGTAGAACTTGTCATACATATATATGCACAATGTATTTTCAAACACGACGTATGCGTGTCCGCACGTGGTAAGTGGCGCGTGTCTGCATGCCGTGCCAGTGCGTGCCTACAACTTCTCTTCCCCCAGACACCCGTGCTGTCCTCTCCATGCCCCTTGGCGCCACGGTGGCGAGATGTCAACTACGTCGCCTGGTATGCAGAAGGTTCGTGAGTTCTATCCATACTCTGACGCCCGCCGCTGTATATTTGGCGTTTGCACGTTCTCCCCGTTGTCGCGTGGATTTTTCTCCGGGCCTACCGGCTGTTCCCTCCACATTTAGTAACATGCGTTTCGAGTACTTAGCTTCTTTAAATGTCCACGTGATAAGCCACTTCGTTGGGCTATCATTTGTGACCAGGTGGCATTTGAAAAAGAGCTCCATAACTCAGTGGGCCTTACCCGGTAAAAAAAAAAAATAGTTTAGTTTTAGTATTAAGTTCCAGGATTTTTATTTTCCTCCTCTGCTCATGACTGGCTGCCTCTTTCTCTCCATGAAATAAATAAACCCAATGTTTCGTTTACTCTTTCGCACAACTCATTTGCTGATACTGCAAACTTATTTGCGCTATGAAAAAGGGCCACTGAACGAAGAAACGTCGCCTGTTATATGTCGTACGACTTTTTGAGATGCGGTTGCAATGACATGCCATATAGACCCACATTGTATTATATAGAGACCCAACGACTTGTATAAAGGCTCATGTACCTGCATCGAGACCCATTAACCTCACATAGAGACCCACATACCCACATCCAGACCCATATATCTACACAGAGACCCGTATAGAGACCCATAGCCTCACATTGAGACCAATATCTGTATGAAATCAAAAGTCCACGGTTTGTAAAAAAAGTCATGAAACGCGGTCACATTCAGCCGCGATGTAAATCCACATTGTATTGCATGGCGTGCGTAATACCGCCTAAATAGGTCACGAAGTATCCAAACCCATAAATAAAACGTGGGGTTTCACGCACATAATCGCGGTCCTATTAAGAATCCCGGCATACCTTGATGCCCTAATCCGCGTCGTAATAATAGCGCATCTAATCATAGCAGTGCAATTAACGTGCGCACCCGAGTTTAGAAGCGGTGCACCGATGTTTGAGGCCGCGTTGCTCCTTGGGACAACAAACGGCCCGATATTCAGGCCTGCGCGCGCGCGCTCTCCCGTGCGTCGCGTCCGCGCTGCCTCTCAACGTCTATCGTGCGCGCCCCTGACGCAGAGCGAGCGAGCAGATCCACGGAAACTTTGCGCGTCGAAGAAAGTTTCCGATCAGCGCGCGCTCTGCAGCGCGCGACGTCCGGGTCAAGACGCAGCAGCTACGTCGAGCATCAAGGTGGAACAGGAGATGGAAAGTGCTCAAATTAGTGCATCGCGGAGAGGGGCATGCAACGGGAACTACGTTGAGGGACGAGGAACAGAGGCCCACCGGGGTCGCCGTGGATTTAGGAGCGATTTATCTCAATGGGCCCCAATCCCCAGTGAACAGAATTAAACTAACAAAAAGACCACGCTGGTAAGTGCGTGGTTTCTGAACGAGAATGCAAGTCGGGGGAGGGCACATTACGGGGCTCAGACATCACTCGCCAACTGACCACCGCCGCCGGGAATCTAACCCAGGTGAGCCGACTTAACAGCGCAGTGAGTTAAACCGCAACCGGCTCCAGCAACAGCAGCAGCAGCAGCGCTACGTCTCGAGGTTCATCGGTGAATCGAGACGGCGTGAGACAGAGAGAGAGAGAGCGCGCAAACAAAACAAGAGGCATCGCTCCCTTCTCGCCTCTCCACCAGGGCCGACAGCGCACGCGTTACGCGATCTGCAGACACCTCGCGGTACGAGCGGGGAAGCGATTGGCAGCACGCGACTTTTGCCCCCCTCCCCCGCGCCCCCCCCAGCGTCCCCCTCCCCCCCCCCGATGGTGGAGGGGGGGGGCTGTGCTGCTGATGGGAGCGGAGGGCAGAGTTCGCATACTCGCTCGTTCACGACCGACTCTCTCTCTCTGACGAGAACATCTGGCGCTGTTTCCCGACACGGGAGAGGCGCGCGTTAATGCCCGTCACTCGCGCGCTCCCGTCACTCCTCGCGGACGTGGGGAGGTTTCAGCAGCGGCCTGTGTGTCCCTATCAGAAAGTACGCGTGCGTGTGCGTGCGTACGTGTGTGCGTGCGTGTGTGTGCGTGCGTGTGTGCGTGTGTGTGAGCGCTATGAACCCGGCGATCCGAGTTCTATTCCAGCTCACGGCCGACAACCAGTGACGAATATCTCAACCGGTCCTGCTCGGCTTAGCCTCAGATGCTTACCTGGTGCGGTGTGTGAACATCGCCACTTGGGAGACAAAGGCGGCCGGGCGTGTGCCGTGCCAACCTTTGTATGTAATCGCTAAACAGCACTTGTCACCAACATTCGTTAAGGCTATACGGGTGATGTTTGTGCTTGTGTGCGTGTGCATGTCCGTATATATATTTTTTTTATGTATGTGTGTGTGCATGTGCATCATCGTGTGTGTAGATGTCTGTGTGTGTTGTTTATCTCTCTCACCCTCCCTTCGCCACCATCCCTCTTCCATCCCCGCTCCCCAGTCCCCCCTTTATCCCCAACTCTCCGCCTTACCCCCCCCCCCCCCCCAAAGAAGCAGCCCAAGGCAGAGTCCTGGCCTTGTCAAACAACGCGCACACATACAACGACATCGACCTCCCGTAGAGCCTTTAACAGACTGATGGGGCATTTGCTGTAAGCGGGGTAGCACCTTTGAAGGCCGGCACGGCGCGCGCAGGGGGAGGTGGTGTGGCTACAGCACCACGCCCGGTCGCTTTTGTCACCTCGGTGATGATTTGTAGACCTCGAACTAGGTGATACATTTTAAGGCTGAGTCGACCTAGGGGAAACCCAGGACAGGTTCAGATAATCGTCACTGGTGTTGGCCGTGAGCAGGAATCTAACCCGGGTCGTCGGGCTCGTAGCGCAGCGCGCTAACCACTGCGCAACCGCTCACCATACATACACACATGCGCGCGTAGTCACACACGGAAGCACCAACTTCATCCGCGATTGGCCACTAAGTGGCGGTGGCGTCGCTCCTGCTGCGCCCCGTGCCACGCTAGGTGCGCTCTGAAGAAGCGTGGCAGAGAGGTAGAAGCGTTGCGGGGCAGACCCAGATGTTATCGATTTACGCACGGCACTCACGTGCACGCGCACGCACATCGCCTTCTCGCGCGCAGGTGAACAATAACCCGCAAAACTCACCTTCTCCCGGGACCTCTCATCCCGATCATAAATTTAGTCTGGTGGAATACATTTGTCGTGCGCGCGCGCGTTCATGTGCAAGAAACGCATGCATGTGTGTGTGCATATGTGCACACGCATGCGTGCGCGTGTATGCGTCGGTGCGTGTGTGTTGCCTAACGCGTGCGTGTTGCCCGCCCGAGTGTTCTCTGTAGGATGTAGAGACATCTCGTCGGGGATGCGGGATAATTGTGATGGTGATCGCTGCGCGCGCAGGTAGCTTGCCAGTGCCTGCGCTCCTCCTCTACCTCCTCCTACCCCCCCCGCCGCCACCCCCCCCCCCCCCCGCGGGTCCGAGGAGTAGAAAGCAGGTCTGCGAGTTTTTGGCGCGAGCGGCAGATGGGCACGCGCGCGCCCAGGGGATCGCGAGCGCGAGAGCGTGAGAGGGAGAGAGAGAGAGCGAGAGAGGGAGGGAGATGCGGGGGAGAGGAAGAGAGAGGGAGGGAGGGAGAGGGGGCGCGTGCGCGCATCCGAACACGAGCACGCGCGCGACACGAATAATTATAAACAAGTGCGTAGATAGGGAGAGATATACATGTGGGGAGGGGTGGGGAAGAAGGGGGGCGGGCGAGTGTGGTGGCATGGAATGGGGGGGGGGGGGGTGATGGAGATGCACAGATAGATAGCCATGTGTGTGCGTGTGTGTTACAGAGAGAATGGGATGAAGTGTGTGTACGTGTGTAGAAGACAAGAATTTGAGAGGATGATGGGAGGGAGGTCCTCGTAAAGGTGTGCATGTGAATGGGAGCGAGAGAGAAAGGGGCGGAGTGGTGCGGGGGGTGGGGGTCAGGGAGGAACGGGATGAGAAGGGGGGGGGGCACACACAAACGTGTGCGTTCGTGCGTTAGTCACGTGCCCCGCACGCGTCAGCTCTTGACGTCAGCCCCATATGGCACGCGCCGTGGCATCAGCGGCGTTGGCATCGCTGTAGTTGGTGCCAGTTTGTGGGGTGGGGGGGGGTGAGATGGGGGTGGAGGAGAAGGGGTAGGGCTGGATTTGAGGGTGGGAGGGAGGGAGCGGGAGAGAGTGGGAGCCGCGTAAGAGGAGGGGGAGAGAGAGGGAGAGGAAGGGTGGCGGAGGAGCGGTGCTCACGTACGGGAAGAGCTGACACGGGAGCTCCCTCCTCCGAGCTCTCGCGCCGCTCCGGGTTCGGCGGCGCCATTCGCAGACGGAACACGGAGACGCGCGGAGACGCGCGGAGACGCGCGGAGACACGCGGCCCGAGCGAAGTATGAGCGCGCTCTGAGCCAAGGAACTTGGGTAAGAAGGGAGCTCCGCTGCCCGGACGCGGACAACGCGCTCCGATGCGGCCACCGCGAGCTGCTGTCGTTCATTCGCGTAGAATTCATCACGCGCCGCCAATGCAACTGCGTGTGCGTAAAAACCCTGCACGCCGCGCTAATTGTTCGGGCGCGTGGCGCGCGTCGGCGTCTTAGACCTCAAACGCGACCTAACGCCGCGCAGTCCCAACTCGACGAATGGAGAAGGTACGGTCCCGCGATCCGTGCGATCCGAGGCTTCTTCATCATAAACGCGGACAACGCGTCTTAATGCAGCGGAGGCGTTCGACCAACTCCCCGTGTCCCCTGCTTGTCGAGGAGACCAGGCGACCCGTCCCCCCCACACCCCCCTTCCCCCCCGCCGAACGCGTGACTGTGACTCCGCGCATCGCCGTGTGTCTCTGTCCCCTCCCGTCCAGGGTTCTGAAAGTGCCTTCCTTCATCCTGCAAGGCGGCTCACGTGAGACGGCACCGTCAACGTGGCGTCGTCTCCACAGAGAATTGGGGTCCAATCCAGGTTTGCATTTCAATAAGCGATTCCGTGTGCGGTTCTGCCAAATAATGATTTTTTTTCTTTTCGCACCCGAACACTTTCCGCACAAATTAGTCGACTAATTAATTGATCGTCACGCGGGGAAGGTGCGAGGGACGGAGAGAGGGAGGAGGGAGGGGGGGTGTGAGGTTATTCGTGGTTTGTTACACGCGTGGTAGCCTCGTCGACAAATATAAAATCCCCTCGTTGGAGGTGAACGTCCAATGTTGAGAAATGTTGACAAAATACGCCGCTTGCTGTGGAATTTGCCTGCGTAAAATATCAAAGCGCCGTGACCAGAGTCAGGCCGGTATCACGATCATCCTCAGCATGTTTGTTGTCGTGATGTTTATTTGTATTATTTGTGATCGTGCAGTCACAGAGATGTATTCTGTTGTGTATCGTCACATATCGCACGTACTTTACTTTCACCGTTACTGCTGTAATAGTTGTATTCACATCGACAATTACGATATCCCAGTTTTAAAGCTGAAGAAACGGTGCGAATGAAAATGAAACAGCGCGAATGAAAATATCAAAATAATTATTTTAATTCCGGAGTAAAAGAGAGAGAGAAACAATAATTGTATCGACGTTTCGGCTCCGCTTCCTTACACAGACAACGTAACCAAACCGCACTGAGCGTTGTCTTCACACCAAAGTACAAAGGCACCAAGTCGACACGCGCGCCGCGCCACGCCGTGTGTTGACTTGGCGCCTTGGTCTTCGCATCGCCCAGCCTAAACCAAGAGTGGTTCGCGAACCGCTCGCGTTACCATTCGAGTTCGCGCGCTCCTCTTCCTACTCCTCCTCCTCTTCTCATTTCATTTTTTTACGAGTCCCGTAAATACGCGCCCCCCCCCCCAGCCGCCCGGTGCTCTCTCGCCCGGGCTGCGGTACAGCCTGCAGCCCAAGGTATTCCCCACGCTGGCTGTTTTATTAGAAGAAATGAATATGCACCTGATGCCCGGCTATTAGCACGCGTGCGTGCGGGTGCCCCGCAGAGAGAGAGAGGGAGCGGGGCGCGCCTCTGCATACGCTCGGCGCGATTAAGAACCCCGCTCCACGACGAGCGGCCGTGTGCCAGCCACATCGCTCGACGCCAGCCGTAGCGGACGAGAGGACATGGGGGTTGGTGCTCGTGTAACGAGTATTTCATGTTGTCGTCGTTGTTATTGTCTGGGTAGGGAGTGGGGTTTGTTTGAAATAAATAAGGAACATTACTGCGCGCAGTAATCTCGGTGTAAGTATGGATCAGGGGAACGAGGCGGGGGTTTTGGTTTGTTTGTGTTGTTGTTGACGTTAGAGAGAGAATTCATCACGCTCGCCTGTACGGATCTCGTTAATAGGGCGAGTGCCAGGCGTTTGCGTGCGCGCGCGTGTGACACATGGCCATGTAACCGGCCTGCGTGATCTGGACCGGCTGTGTCTCTCTGGGGAAAGCCGCCTCGCGACGTGCAACCTCCCGTCCGTCCGTGCGCTGCGCCGCATTGTCACGACTCGACGCAGGTTTTCGTGCGCAAACGACGCTCTAGTTGACGCGCGTTAACAAACAAACAAAAAAGGTCACGGAATCCTTCCTCGATGCTCGCCGCCTCCTCCTGCTCCTGCTCAAGCGGCGGCGAGCGTCGAGTCGCTGGCGCTCGGTCCGGCCGCCAGCGACTTGCTCCATCGCGGCGATTGGAGGCGCTCTTTAATGTTTAATAATCCCTCTTGATTTACATAATATGTCGTATATCCTTAGGGTGAGAGCAAATTGAGTACATATTCTGTTGCGCGCTCCGCAATTTAATTACGACATTGTTAAGCGCAATCTAATGCGGCTGATATTTAGAGCTGTACTTTGGTGTGAGTGTGTGTGTGTGGGGGGTGTAGCCAGGACTCCGATAGGGGATGGATGGGGGGGGGGTATGAGAACCGGCTCTTGCGCATCAGGTAGGGCCAGACGCCGCTCTGAACCTATGCCGGAGAGCCGAGGTGGTGCTCCCTTACACATTTCTCCAAAGCGTTGCGATACGTGTCTCTATATATGTGTGTGCATACGTGTGTGTGTGTATATGTGGTCAGCGGTAGTGTAGCTGTTATTGCGCTGCGCTACGAACCTGGCGACCCGAGTTCGATTCCCGCTCACGGCCAACACCAGTGACGATTATCTGAACCGGGTCTTGGCCTCCATTAGGTCGACTCAGCCTCAAATGAATACCTGGTGCGGTGTGTAAACATCGCCACTCGGGAGACAAAGACGTCCGGGCGTGGTGCTGGCCACCCACCCCCACGTGTTCAGTTCCGACCTACAGTCTGATAAGGTTATACGGAGGATCTATGTGTGTGTATATATATATACGTGGGGAGCGGTACTGCCGTGGTTAGCACACTACGATACGAACCCGGCAAACGTCAAGTTTGATTCCCGCTCACGACCGATGACAGTGGCGAATGTTTGTTACGGGTGCTCAGCCTGCCCGAGGTTTGACCCCTGGCGTGGTGTGTATAAAATATCAGCACTGGCCGAACAAAGGCGGCCGGGCGTGGTGGTGTTGGCCCACCCCACCGCCGTGCCTGCCTTCGTAGGTGCTCGCTAACAGCACTTTGCTCCAATGGACGTTTGAAGCTATACGGGGGACCTTTGTCTTTGCGTCTACGTTGTGTACGTGGAGAGCAGCGGTGCAGCAGCCGCTTGCGCGCTGCGCTACGAACCCGGCGGCACAAGTTCACTTCCCGGGCAAGGTCGACTCAGCCTCAAATGAGTATTCGGTGCGGCGGGTAAACATCGTCACTGGGGAGACAAAGGCGGCTGGACGTGGTGCTGACCACCCACCGTTGTAGGTGCCCGCGAGCAGTAAATACGGGAGGGGAATCTTTATACTTGCACACGAGTATGCGTACGTCCGTTGTGTCATTGGAAATTCCACGTCCAGGAATGGTTGTCGAATATGTCGATATTAATGTACCTGCTCAACGAATGAACTGCTCGCGCCCTCGGGGTGAGAAGAGACAGCACCAGCCACGGGGCGTTTAAACACGAGGGGGGAGAGACGAGTGAGGGTCTCACGTCGTGCAAGTGCTGCCCGCTGATTCCAAGGGCGCCCAAAGCTACGCGGCGATTTTTTTTCCCCCACGGAGGGTGGGCGGCTAAGCGGCGGTTCGATTCCCCCCCCCCCCCCGTCGAGAGTCGATCGATCTCGAGGTTTTGATCGAAGCGCGCCGTCGGCAGCGCGCGGTGTACGTGCCTAGTGGAGTCGCGGTGTGTTCCGGTATTTTTGGTAAAAAAAAAAAACGCGGGTCAATGCGGTACAAGCAATGTCAGAATCCGGCAAAATCGCGCTCCAAATTAGCGGTCCTGTGACGCCCGTTTAATTCTGTAAAACTTAATATTTTTGCAAGTGAGGTTTTTTTTCGTAACAAAAAGGAATATGTCAGGTGTCAAATAATTCGGGGTTACAAAACATCTGGACCACGCTGTACACCGATGAGAGTGGATGACGATGATGATGATGGCTTATTATCATGAACGCTAAATCATGTCCCTGCTCTTGAGTCGTGAGGCGTTTCCTTGGGGTTCAAGTCAGAGTCGGTTTGTTCGGCGTTAGCGCGCAGTCGCAACGTCTCTCTACCACCACCACCACCACTCTCATCATCATTATCATCATCTCCACAATCACCACCACAGTCATAACCATAATCTCCAGTCTCACCAGAACCATCATCATTCTCGTTACCATCATCAACATCGTTATCTTAATAAGTGCAATTATTATTATCTCCATTCTCACCATCACCACCACTCTCACCATTATCATCACATCAATGATTCTCATTACCTTCAATCTCACTCGCACCACCGTCATTTCCAGCATCAACATCGTCATCCTTATAAGTGCAAATTACAATGACCACAATCTCAATTTTCACCATCACCTTCCACCAGAATCACCACGGCCACCACCACCACCACAGCCACCGCCACCACAATCATCGCCACCACAATCACCGCCACCACCAACCACTGCTCTGCCCCCCCCCCCCCCCTTTCCCGCTGCTGCGCTTAACAAAACAATGTGGGTCAAGCCCCCCGATTGAACCGGGCGCCGGTCGAACCCGATCCCGCGCGTGGCGTCATTCGCGCTCCCTAGTTAAGTCTCAAAATGCAGGCGGCCCCTCTGCTGCATCGCGGCTTTGCGTTAATCACGAAATGAGCGACGTCAATGGGCGGCCGCGAGGGGCGACGCGAAAGACCGCAGGACGTTACTGGGCGAGGGAATACGATCCGACACGCCACCACAATACAAAGTCAAGGCGCTCTCTTGTCAAGGCCATGCGTCACTTTCATTTACTTATCTTCTTTCGCGTAACTACTGGGCATCTGTGGAAAAAAAGAGCTTCATAGCTCGTCGGGTTCCTCCCGGTACACGTAAAATTTTAACATTAAAAAAAAATATTTTTTTAAACGAGGGTTGCGTTCAAAGCGGAGGGACACTATCGCCGCCGTGTCGCCCTCCATGTTGTTGTTGTTGTTGTGTTTTTTTGTGTTAAACGTGGCGACCTCAAAAGTTCGTTTTTTTCTGTGTGCCACGCCGGATTGCCCGCGTTGTTTCTCGCGGAGCTCGCGAGTGAAGTGTAATTCACTCGCGCAAACAAACTGAAAACTCTTTGGATAAAAGCGGGCTTCCGAGCGCATCTACTACACCGTGACGATTCAGAATCAACCAGGCCAACAGTGATCATGAATCGTGCCAGCCTCTACTGGGCAAAGGCCGACCCCCCCCCCCCTCCCCCGCCGTTCCGTGTCGCTCGTGAAGGTTTTTTTGACCATACTTCACCACGCCGGTCAGTGCGTGTTCATGCAGGAGGGGACCGGTCCAGGCTTCACTCCAACCACCAGTGTCAGCCACGCGACCTCTGGTCGCTGCGTCACCACCACTCCCATAATGCATCACATGCTCGAGACACACACGGCGGCTGTCGTGTGCGGCATATAGGCCGCGTCGTCTCGCAGCGATGCGCGTGTTTCACTCTCTGATTGGTACACGCGGACGAGACTATCGTGATCCCTCCCCCCCCCCACGTTGAAGTTTAGCGACGGTTAAATGTTTATTGCCGCGACGTCGAATATTCATTTTGACCTTCCACATTTGGTGCGTGGGGAACAATGCATCGTTCACGTTAACAGGGGACCCCCCCGCTTACTCAGAGGAGGGCTCAAATTAAGAAATTAATTGTCGCCAGCACGCCTTTTAATTAGCGACAAATATGATGCACAGCCCCTTGGTCGATCCACTGCTGGATGAAGGCCTTCTCATGCCGTGTTGGCCATGCAGATTGTTTGACCATACCGCACCACGCCAGTCGGTGTTTTCAAGGTACCGCCAAATAATTCAATGTACTCCACCCCCCTTCTCTCTCTGCTCTGGAAATGGGCTATTGCCTGAAACGTTAGTTAGTAGCACAAGTCTCTGTTATAAGGGTTAGTGCTAGTTGAGAAGGTGCTTGTTTCTTTTGGGTTAGGCAAGGGTTGGTGGATCACGCAGAGATTCATAGAACTCAACAAAGAAACGTGGTGTCCATTAGATAAGCTGCTATGTCGGCCAGGAGATGGCAATAAAAAAACGTGGGATCGTGAACCTATCTGTGCTGATCGTTAGGGGGTTTTCACTGGGTTCACACGAACCAATAACAGTGAGTCTTGAGGCTCAGTGACGCTTTCCTGGATTAGCACAGGACATGGTTATTCGTGTTATTATTACTATTCTAATAAGCAGGTGGGATGCTACATATAATGGAAATACGATAAGATCATCATCATGCACAGCTACTTGAAGACCTCTCCACGATTTTTCTCCCGAGCTCATATCCCATCAGTCCCTACGACCCGTTTTGATGTTCCATCTCCACGAAGGTCGTATATGTGCGTGTATCTGTGTGTATGTGCGTGTGTCTGTGTGTATGTGCGTGTGTCTGTGTGTATGTACGTGTGTCTGTGTGTATGTGCGTGTGTCTGTGTGTATGTGCGTGTGTCTGTGTGTATGTGCGTGTGCCTGTGTGTATGTGCGTGTGTCTGTGTGTATGTGCGTGTGTTTGTATTTGCATGAACGAGTTTCTGTGTGTATGTGCGTGTGTCTGTGTGTATGTGCGTGTCTGTGTGTATGTGCGTGTGTCTGTGTGTATGTGCGTGTGTCTGTGTATGTGCGTGTGTCTGTGTGTGTGTGCGTGTGTCTTTGTGTATGTGCGTGTGTCTGTATGATAGTGTAGCGGTTAGCGCGCTGCGCTATGAACCTGGCGACCCGGGTTCGATTCCCACTCACGGCCAACACCAGTGACGATTATCTGAACCGGTCCTGGGCCTCCCCTAGGTCGACTCAGCCTCAAATGAGTACCTGGTGCGGTGTGTAAACATTACCACTAGGGAGACAAAGGCGGTCGGGCGTGGTCCTGGCCACCCACTCCCTCGTGTACCGTTCCGGCCTTCATAGGTGCTCGCTAACAGCACTTGCCCCTACAGTCTGTTAAGGCTATATGGGGGGTCTGTGTGTATGTGCGTGTGTCTGTGTGTATGTGCGTGTGTTTGTCTTTGCATGAACGTGTGTCTGTGTGTATGGGCGTGCGCTTTTTTGTACGAGCGTGTGTCTGTTTATGAGTGTCTTTGTGTGTGTATGTGTCTACGTGTGTATGAGCGTGTGAATGGGTAGGTTTGGGGAGTGGTAGTGCAGTGGTTAGCGCCGCGCTATGAACCCAGCGACCCGAGTTCCATTCCCGCTCACGACCAACTCCAGCGACGATTTTCTAAACCGGTCATGGGCCTCCCCGAGGTCGACTCAGCCTCAAATGAGTACCTGGTGCGATGTGTCAGCATCGCCACTCGGGATACAGAGGCGACCGGGCGTGGTGCTGGTTACCCCACCCCTTGTGCCTCGTTCCGGCCTTAATAGGTGCTCGCTAACATCACTTGGCCCAAAAGTATGTTAAGGCTATACGGGGGATGTGTCTTCATCATGCGTGTTAATGTGGTTATGTATTCGTGTGTATGTGGCATATGCGTGTGCGTGTGTGTGTGTTTTATCTGCGTGTGCACAGCGCTACAAGTCCGGCGACCTGGGTTCGATACCCAGCCCCACGTCTCAATTGCCATCATCATCATCATCATCACCACCACCATCATAATTATCATCACCACCAACACCATCACCAGCATTATCTTAAGTGCACGTGACCCGCACGTGACCCGCCCGTGACCCGATCGTGACCCGTTCGTCCGTGACCGCTCGCAGGAATCCACCACCACCATGTTCACGAAGCTGTACGCTGGAGCCGAAGCCATGAGCCAGCAGCTCCGAGCCGTGAGTCTGGCTCTCGCCACGGCCGACGAGGACGCCTGCGGGAGCAGCGACGGCGAGGCGCCTCCACACTCCTGCACCACCTCCTCGTCTTCCTCCTCGCATAGGCAGCTGGGGCTGCGCGACTCGCGGCCGGACCTCCACGAGCCCACAAACATCGCGGCGGCCGCGGCGGCCGCGGCGGCGGCAGCGGCGGCGGCGGCGGTGGCGGCCACAGGACGCGGCGGAGGAGAGGAAGGAGGCGAAGGTCCAATCGACGACAACGACGACGACGACCTAGACGACGAAGACATCGAGGACGAGGACGAGATGGAGGAGGAGGAGATGACGATGGAAGAGGAGGAGGAGGTGGAGCGCAAGTCGAGGCGGCGCGGGCCGCGCAAGAAGAAGCCGACGAAGGCGCGCGTGGAGCGCGTGCGCGTGCGGCGGATGAAGGCGAACGCGCGCGAGCGCAACCGCATGCACGGACTGAACGCGGCGCTCGACAACCTGCGCAAGGTGGTGCCCTGCTACTCCAAGACGCAGAAGCTGTCCAAGATCGAGACGCTGCGCCTCGCCAAGAACTACATCTGGGCGCTCTCGGAGATCCTGCGCTCCAACCAGAGCCCCGACCTGCTGAGCTTCGTGCAGACCCTCTGCAAAGGTTTGTCTCAGCCCACGGCCAACCTGGTGGCGGGCTGCCTGCAGCTCAACCCGCGCACCTTCCTGCCCGAGCAAAGCGTGGACTTCGCGCACGTGCCCTATGCGCCGGCCGCGCTCGCCTACGGCTACCCTCCCGCGGGACTGGGCGCTATGAGCCCCCCGTATAGTTCGGCGACCGAGGGCCCGTACCTGTTGCAGGCGGGCAAGGCGCAAGCCTACTTCAGCAGCGCCATAGACCAGTACTTCGACACGGGCGTTTCGGAGTGCACGAGTCCGCCCTTCGAGGCGCCGGGCAGCCCGCCCCACCACTACGGCCTGAACGGGAACTTCGCCTTCAAGCACGAGGCCGCCACCGCAGCGGCGGCAGCGGCCGCGGCTGCGGCGGCCGCGGCGCACGCGTCCGTGCAGGCGGATTACGAGAGGGGAGGGTACGGGCACTTCGGGGTTCGGGGCTCCGGCTACCAGGGGGCGCACGGCGGCGGCGGTGGTGGTGGTGGAGGAGGAGGAGGAGGGGGAGCAGCAGGAGGTGGGGGTGGTGGGGGCGGGGGGGCAGTGGGCCCCGCTGGCTGTAAGCAGGCGGGCCAGGGCACGGGTCCAGGCGCGGCGTACGAGCGGTACGGGCCGCAAGGAGAGCACTTCTGCGCTTACGAGGGCGTGCGTGCGAGGGCGACAGCGCGTCACGACCGCCTGCTGGTGGGTGCCGGGGCCGGAGACATCCACGCGATGTTCGGGGAGTATGACCACCATCACCATCCGCACGGCTGAGACGCACACGCGCGCGTACGCGTGCGCACCGGCGCGGGGTGAAGGGCACTCCCAGCTCCGTGGTCGTCGCTCGCTCCACGTTCTGTTCCGTGTTCGATTGGAGGCGCGAGTTTGTTTCGTCGGTGTGTGTCCTTTGTTCAGTGGTGATTTACTCCCCAGTTGCTTCGCGGCCGTCGATGGCTTAAGCCGAAGCTGTGGGTCTCATCTGATTCCTCACCCCCCCCTCTCCCCCACGGCACCCTCCCCCACCACCCTCTCCTCCTCACCGGCACGCGGTGAAAAATTGCAAATGCGTCCGTGGTTTAATTTTGTACTGTATTTGTATGATTACGTTTTACTATTCTGTTGGGGGGGGGGGGGGGTCATTTATGGAAGCCATATAGTCGAGGAATTGCTACACTGAATATACCAGATGTTCAGTAAGATGTGGGGTTTGATCAGTCAGGGCCTTTATGAACTTGCTCAACTCCCCCTTCCTCCTATTCCGCACGATCAGGCCAGGGTCTTTGATCCGTCCGTGCGTCCATCGGTCCGTTTGGACGACACCATTGCGGAGTAGCGGTCGAGTTGCGGTCAGCGCACTTCGTGTTGTATTGGACCCCATCCACCATCCACCTGAGTTCCATTAACAGCGGTGGGGGGGGGGGGGGGAGTAAAATCCGCGTCGAGCCGCGCTCCCACCCGTCCAGCCTCCCATCCCATCCACAGAGCGGCGTGGATAAGCATGAGTCAAACAACGTCCGTTCGTTGAGAGCTCTTCATCCAGCAGTGGATGGAGAAAGGCCTAATCCCCCCCAGCTTGATGTAATAATTACGGACGTCCTATATTTATATCAACAAGTGCCAATGTTGAATTTGCCGTTAGACCCCGTTTAGCTGTTACACACCCATGGGATCGTTACATTTCGGCAACACTAATTGGTCAGTGCTGTCGAGAAAACGTACCGGACAGACAGACGCAGTCGCACAAAGACACACAAAGGCACGCAAAGACAAAGCCTTGACAGGTTGTAGGGGCGAGTGCTGTTAACGAGCACCTTTGAAGGCCGGCACGGAACACGAGGGGGGGTGGGGGGGGGGTGGCCGTCACCACGCCCTGCCATCTTTTATTTCCTTAGTGGCGATGTTTAGACATTTGAGGCTCAGTCGACCTAGGAGAGGCCCAGGACCTGTTGAGATAGTCTTCAGTGGTGTTGACCGTGAGCGAGAATCGAACCGCTTTCGCGACCGTTCCCCACATACAGTTATTGTAACCATGAACACACACGGGTCACGCAGACACAATGACGCCGTCGCACGGACACACGCACGCACGCACACGCGGGCAATCCCATGGGTCCGAGTGGACAAATAGATTAAATTCACCCGACATTTGCCGGTTCTTCCAGGTGGCCTCCGTGTAATGCCAAGGTGGTGGAATTGTGTCACAAACGAGTGAATTCTGTTCTCCTGTAGGACGGGACCTCGATTACCACCGCCCCACATATGGGCATTCAAATTATAATCCAACCGACGAGACATTCGTTCGTGAATTGTCTAACGAGGCGAGGGTACACTGAGATGAGCGTCTTGATTTATGTTGTTGTCGTTGTTTCGCGACGTCGACTTCGGATGATCGAAGTTGTCACTGATTTTCACAAACAAGGTTTCGTGTTTTCCATTTCTCCGATAGACACCGGACCCGCTCTCGTGAGCGATGACGTCACTCGGGTAATTAAGAGGTCTTTGACGTCCACGTCAGCTTTCACTTTAACCCTGCACGCTGTAGTCGCCATGCCTCCACGTAACTTACCGGCTACTGAATTAACAACCTCGGCGCAGATTACAACAACAACAGCCACCACCACCGCAACCTTTGCATCAGAGGTCATCGATTCTTGAACAATTTGCATGACCCAACGTGTTTACCGGCGTCAGGAGTCGCTCTACCAACTTGAGGAACTCGCGTCGCGATTTTTCCAGCCGATTGCCTCCGCGCAGGGATCCTTCCATGCGGCTCTCATCTCCTGCCAGATAGACTTAGCACCCCCCCCCCCCCCCGCCGCGGGTCTCTGTGCGCCGATTATTGACAAATAATTCCCTGGGAGAGAACTCCTTAATACTCGCGCGGCTCGACAGCGAGAATTCCTTCCCGTGGGAGTTCGAGATCCGGTTATCGCGTTGGCGAATGTTCTCTTTCCACGAGAGATTTTTGGCGAAACCCCCCCCCCCCCCATCTGGCGCTTGCCCCCAACCACCAAATAATGTTGGCATACCCCGGCAGCGTGGCGATTTTTTGGCCGTTTCAGTAAAAAGTGCGAAAATGACCCAGAGAGGTTAATCCTACGCGATTCGATGAATTACCGCAATATCGGCATCGGGATTCCATTAAATAATATACGTGTTAGATATACGCATTACAGTAATTAATGTATTATAAACGTAGAGGCATCTGGAGGTTGCAGAAGGATACCGTTGAACGCCACGAAATTCAAATTGAAATCCATCGATCTTTACACACGCCATAAACCGCAGGCTATAGGAACCGAATGCAATTTATGAATCGATGCATCGTTACACCACTCATCGCCATCGCTTAACACCGTTCAGTGAAAAATCGCTACTTCACGGGCCGTGAGTGGCATAGCGTAGTTGGCACGTGTCCTGGTGCGCCGGATTAACATGGGCCTCTCTGCCGCCCAATCTGCCCCCACCCAACCACCCACCCCCTCTCGCCCTTCTCCGCTACCCCATCCCCCTTCATTGCCCTGGGCTCGTCCGGCCCGTGAGCCCCCCGGTACAGCTGCACCTCCTGCTAATCCACTGACAGGGTACGGAGGCCTCGCTCCCCCCGTGCAGTCAGGGCGCGCGTTTGTCGTGTGCGCTGGCGGTTCAACGTCTCTGGCACCGTCGCCGTGGCCCGGCCAGTAGCCGCGGTCACCGCTTGTCATTCGCCAAGAGTAGGCCAATGTGTGCCGGCGTCACGGTATGCAATTGCAATGCGCATAGCAATCTGGAAAGAAAAAAAAAACCCCGAAAACTTGTCAGGATCCTCCGACAAAAATAGTCACGAGACTCAGTAAGTTATTTCCTGGGCAAAGCAAAGGGGGCGATCACACAAAGTGGTGTCACGCTGCATCAATCAATCGATCGATTACAATATACCCATACGCCCACGATGCGTGTTGCCAGTCGCACGCGTGGCAAGCGGCTACTTGATATTCCTCTGTAATCTACATCCCGCGTGACCCCTACAGCCACTAGAGGCGCTCCGGGATGAAATCCAGAAAGCCGGGTCGTGACATATATATATTTTTTACCGAATCGCTATTTGGGGCGAAGCGTTGCGGTGGGCGAGTTGGCACGAGTTGAGGCCGATGATTGACGGGCGAAACCCCCCCCCCCCCCCCCCTGCTCTCACCTCACATGGGGATCCGGGTGATGACTCAGCGAAATCCGGCACAGCTTGAGCCAGATAGGCACGTGTCGTGCGTTTCGTTACAGCAATCCCCATGTCTACGAGTGCATTAACGCCGCATAGAAGCTGTTAAGGAGTGACAGGTATGGACTCAAACATGCATGTATGTTGAACTTCTTTCGCGCCGTACGTAGCCAACCGTGCTAATCTGCGATATGATTAGTGATTGACATTTTGACTTGAAACTTTCGTGACTGCAGGAATTCATATTCTTGGTTCTTTCGGTAAAGTAGCGTCGATAGGAAAAAAAAATATAAATAAATTACAAATTGAATATAAAAATATAAATAATAAATTGAAAATAATAAAAGCAATTCAATAAAATAAAAGATATTTTTTCTATTTTTTTATTTTATTATATGTATTTTTATTTTTTATTTCTATCTACGTGACAATAACCGAAAGAACCAAGAATATAATGGTTGACAGTTGGCCCCTCGCAATATTTGTAACGCACTGGTGTAGTCTCCAGCAGTGAGCACTTTGAAGGCAGCTACCACCTGAGTTCGATTCCCGGCCACAGCTAACGTCCATGGCCAAGTGATATCGGAACCAGCCTTCACCTACCCGCACTGACCAGCATGGTGAAGTATGATCAGTACTTGCGTCGGAAGGCCAGGAATCGAACTGAGGTGGCCGAGTTCATAGTGAGCGAACCAGCAAAGGCCTCCCGTGTAGCCTGTCGGGACAAGTTCTGTTAGTGAGAACCTATGAAGGCCGCAACGGCACACGAGGGGGTTGGTGGCCAGCACCACGCCCGGCCGCCTTTGTTTACCTGGGGGCGATGTTTACACACCGCACTAGGCAGAGTACTTATTTGATGTTGAGCCAACCTTGCGCTAACCAATACACTATCGCACCACCCCACACATACATTTATATTCTCTACTTGTACGTGTGCACATGCAGGGGTGGAGAAATTAAACTTGAGTCGTCCCCGACCCGAGCACAGGCCCCGTGGGCCACTCCAAGTTCACCGGTGTTTCTGTTGTCGCTGCAATCCCACGTGAAAGCTCCGGTACAGAGGACCACACACGTACTCACAAGCGGTGGCTGACGCTGAAATGTGGCACTTGGCGTCGTCCCAATTTAACTTCGGCGCTTGAGAGTTGGAGCCTGGAGCAGCGTGACACCAAGGTGCACCGTAAATGTTCGTGAGGCCACCAAATGCCCTGATTTGGCATGGGACATTCCCAAGAGATCTGTGTGTGCGTCTTCGGTTTCAAATGCTCCAACCGTTCTGGTTTAGCGCTTCACTCGCGATCAGGGCATAGGTGCAAGGCTACCTGAGGTGGTGGGTGGGGTCAGCAGAGGGGGTGGGGGGGGTCAACGTCATAAAAAAAGCGACGAAGACATTTCTGGCCGTAGCCCGAAACGTCGCACATTGTATCGATGCTTTATGTTAGGGCAGTGCTGTTGACGAATGTGTTGAGAAAGCGAGGCCGCTCACTGTGCGTGCGAGGCTAGAGGGTGGGGGGTGGTGGTGGAGGGGGGGGGTCGGTGCGCGTGGCAGTGTCGCGGTTGAGCATCCCAGACACGCGGTCGTTTCAACTGTTGCGTTGCGTTCGTGCGCCGTTGCGTAGGGCAGTGGCTCTTCTTCACTTGGGGTGGACGCGCGCCCTGGGGGTGCGACACGCAGCCAGAATTTTTTTGAAGGTAAATGATCGAAAACACAAATTAAGAACGTGCACGTAAGTAGAACTACTTTGATTCAACAAACCTACGTATTTATGAACATTATACATGTTTTTTTTACGATTGAGAGCCAAGGGGCTGCAGTAAAGGTGAGGAACCACTGGCGTAGGTCATTATCTCGTGACCCAAGTCGCACATCTAAAAGTCAACCTCGTGTCAGCATGATCACTGAAGGTTTGATACCCACGACAGACGCTTTCCACCCTTTGCATCCATCCGCTCACAACAATGTCTCCCAACAAACCTATCCATCTCATTCTACTTCCCGCTAGCAGAAGCATCTCACAACTATAAACCCCAAACCCGCTTAGGACGTGCCTCCGCACATGCCACCTCCCATCTCACCAATAATTATCATTCATTCCCGCTCCCAGGAGCCACTCCTCATCGCATTCTCTCGTCCTTCTGGTGACGCCGGATGAACGCTTTTCCGTTTCTCTCCGTAACCGTCCGCGTCTCAAAGGCGTTTTTTTTTAAGTCCTCTCGCTCGTGAATCAGCCTTTACAATTGACTCCGGCGTGGTTGGTGAAATCCATCGAGCGAATTTGGAGCCAATGGCTTGGCGGCCAACGCACAGAGGTGGTGGCTTGGAGATGGCAGTGCAGGCACGTGGGTTCGTGAAACCCGTCCAGTTAGTTGCTCGTATGCGTGCTGGAGTTTTCTTCGGGGGTATTCCCGTCGGATTTTCTTTTTTTCTCTCACGTATAGCGAAATAACCATTGAAAGTGGAATTGGCAAAACGTTCCGAGTGTAGCAGGACCGCACCTGAGCAAGTCTTGAGACTCTATGAGGCTTTTTCTCGGTTAAACAGATTACTCAATGATTATACTTATATGCAAATGTAACCTTTGCAAATCGCCCTGGTCTCCCTTACGAGATACGGTGAAACTCCCGCAGAGGCTTTCAATTTGTGCAATAAAGGATATCCATTATTCAACCACACCGTCCATTGAGATTTTCCATCGAAATTTGTTCTCCCTAGGATTATATCTGCAATCCAGGAACACGGATCTGCAATATAGCAACGGTAATGTTACAAGTTTACGGTAATGTTACAAGTTTACGGTAATGTTACAAGTTTACGGTAATGTTACAAGTTTACGCTACAGCGCTTCGCCAAGCCACCGCCGGACGAGAGCTTCTTTCCACGCCGTGCAGATCGTGGGGTTTGTTTGACCATACTTCACCAAACTGGTCAGTGCCGGTTGGTGAGGGGGGATGGGGGGAGTTGGGATATCACCCACCGCTGTTGTTAGACGTCGCCGACAAATTGAATGCAGGTGGCCGGATTTATACAGCGCAGTACGCTAATCGCTGCTTCACCGCTCCGCCCCAACAACAACAACACCATATTTGTCACACACGTTTTTTCTCTCTTTAAATCACGTAAAAACAAACGGCGTGCTAATGGAATATATATCAGTAATTTATATCATTAGTATAAGTCTTGTAAGTGTGCGTCATACGAGAAAGTGTGCACTTAAGATCAAACAACTCAGCACTTTCCTCAATAACGCTGTCCGAAAGAGTAAACTATCAGACAAGCGACGTTTTTTTTTTAATTTACATAGCACCATTACCCAAAACATCACCAAATTAAATGCTATTTACTCTTTAGGGCAGTGTTGTCTACTATGTTGTTGAGTTTTATGTTGTTGTTGTTGTGCGTGCGCACCACTGCCAGTGCGAGTGTGGCAATGATGCTACTGCTGCAGTAAACATCGAAGAGGTTTACGTGGAGGGGGTTACGCGCGACGTTCTTTTGGGCCCGCGGCTGCGCCAAGCGTGCCGAGGAGCCACGGCCTCGTGTGTGTCTGTCAGGTGACACAGTCGCGCAGAGACCACGCAATTGCCCGCATATCGGATGCCACTGGCTGTTGGGGGCAAAGCTGTGTTAGCGAGGAGGCACAAGGGAGAGTTGGTGCGGTGCGCGTGCTGTGGGGAGCGGTGGTGTAGCGGTTAGCGCGCTGCGCTCCGAACCCGAGTTCGGTTCCCGCTCGCGGCCAACATCGTTGACAATAATCTGAAACGCTCCTAGGTTGACTCAGTCTCAAATGTGTACCTGGTGCGGTGTGTAAATCGTCGCCACTGGGAAGACAAAGGCGGCCGTGCGTGGTGCTGGCTACCCACCCCCTCGTGTGCCGTGCCGGCCCTCATAGATGTTCGCTAACAGCACTTGCCCCAACAGTCTGTTCAGGCTATATGGGGGGGGGGGGGGTTGATCTTTGTGTTTGTTAATGGCTCACACCACGCGCGGCCGCCTTTGTCCGTCTGCCTGCTTGTTATTTATACACCGCACGAGGTGGACTCACTTAAGGCCGTGGCGACCTAGGGAAGAATGCCCAGGACCGATTCATCCCAAGTTCGTATCGCGTAGCGCGCCAACCACTGCGCCACCGCTCCCCCACGCATTCGCACACAACCCCGCCCACCGCCTCGACCGCCGCCTCTACCGCCGCCTCGGCCGTCGCGCACGCATCCCGAGCGAGGCGCCACGATCTCGAGCCGACGACAAATCGCCATCCGCTGCCAGGTGGTAGGTGCCGAGCGCCGCCGCCGACGCCGCGACCACGAAGCGTCTCGCCCTGCTCGGCGGCGCCATCTGTTGCGATGCGAAACCCGCAGTTGCATCTCTCTCGCTCTCCGTGCCTGTGTGTGCGTGTGTGTGTGCGTGTGTGTGTGCGTGTGTGTGCCTGTGTGTGCGTGTGTGTGTGCGTGTGTGTGTGCGTGCGCCGAGGGGTTGTAGGCCTGCGCAGCGCGTTGTTCGGCGTTCACGCCGACCCCGGTAATCCCGACGGCTCGCTCGCGCTTTTTCCCAAGCTTACACTCACGCGATGAGAGAATAACACGGAGCGGCTGGCATTGAGTTCACGAAGAGACTGCCACAGGCGCGTGGGGCGAAACGTCGGACAGTCGTGCCGAACGAACACGCGGTACGACCCGAACACACACCCGGAGGGAGAGAGAGAGAGAGCTGTACAGCAGCACAACCGCGAACTCCTTCACAGGAATAGCAAGCGTAATACTCCCGTAGTAGTCGTAGTAAATAATGATGATAATTGTATTACTCGTCCGAATCGTGTGAAGCACAATTTCAAATCGACCGCGGCGAGACGAACGGTTTGCGTTTGCACTTACAGACGTTATATAGGTGCGTGTGTCTACATACCATGCAGTATACAATACAGTATACAACACGGTATACGATACAATGCGTTGCGAAATTCTGAGGACACCTTTGGCAGGCGATGCGCGTGGGTCAGCGTGTGAACGCGTGCTACTGTCAGCTCCTTGCCGGCACTGCCTAAACGAAACAAAAAAAAACATACCCGCACGCGCGCCTTTGTCTCTCTTTATGTAAAACCTGCAAGTTCACGATTTGATGTCATGATCCCACCACTATGCGTACGCACATATATATACATACAAAGTCATAATATTGTCCTTCTACGCGTCGTTGTAAGCCTGATTGTGATGGAGTCGGGACGGCGAATTCTGTTGTTGTTGTGGGCGATACACGCGGTCTATGTTTGCCGTATCAGGGGCGCTCAGCAAGC